CACGATAGATAGCGTAAGGGTGATAAAACCCCTGACGAACTTCTAGGCAGAACATAAGTACTAGTAGCACTAGGATTATATTATGTAGCGCTGATTAAAAACAAAATATCTTTTGTTAAATTGCACTAAAATGAATTTCTTTATTTTAGTGCAATTTAACAAAAGATATTTTGATATTTTTTGATTTTCTTATAGTAGCTATTATTGTGATAGTAATTTATTTAAAAAAAATGCGTTGTAAACGCTTCAAATTGTTACAAATAAACACTACACAGGTTAACGAAGTTTCCTGGTAAACTAAAGTTAATAGTTCCTAATTTCAATAACAAGCAGACATTAATACTTTGCTCTACATTGTTACACGGTTTTTTCATTCACTTAATTATTATAGCCTATCTAAAGTTCATAGTTGAACATAGGTCTCCCCCAACGATTCTCACTGGAAGGATTCTGCCAAAGCTGAAGAGGGAGTTGCAAGTTAATTTTATTTTTAAAGCATTTCTTAATAAGGCATAAATTTTTTATTGGAATATCGTTTGTGCGACCGTTTAATGCGTTATGGATTTAATTTAAAATAAAAAATTAAGTTGCATAAAAATCTAGGTCAGACTTAAGTATATCCCGTCGAAATCAATGCTATTTGCAGTTATAAGATTTTACTTACCACATGCTCAGCGGTAAAGGAAAATAGTCGTGAGAAAACCTGCAGGTCTGAGGAAAAAATATTTTAAAGACTTACTGACGAGTAACTTTACTTTAATAGGAAAATCCTGGAAGCAATACCTTCATTCCGAACATCGTTTTTCTGTAAATTAATATTGTTGTTTTTGCTTAAATTAATATTTCAATTTTATATGCTTCTAATCTGTGAAACACTAGAGTAAAATGCGTGCCTAAACATTTGTTATAATAGTAACACAGTTGCCTATTATTAGACTTTATTAGCAAAGCGTGTAGGGTTGTCATTAACGTATAAACAGTATCGTACATTATTTTTTTCCAATATTCTTAATAACATTTTAACAAAAATAAAGCATGCTAAAATATTTTCAATATTTTCATTGCTTATTCTATTACTGCCTGAACTTTATTACTTACTGAATAATGGCATATATGTAAACAATCTTCACCAGGCTTTCTTTGTTCAGCATCTTGTCTTCATGCTTCATTATAATGTTAAATAGTTTATTACTTTTACTTATATCGTTAATTACTATTACTTATATCATGTATCTTCATTATAATAGTATTGAGTATACCCACTTTTCTTCACAAGTATTTGCCTCACTATAACTCCTTGCTTTCAGTATCAAAATTTTGTAAACAAAACGTTATTATAGGCGAACTAACTTTATGGAAAAACGACTGCTAAAGTTAAAGGCTACAAAGAAAAAAGTCATCTTAAAGGTATTATAATCAGCAATTGTATAGTATTAAGTTTCTTTTCCCTTTGCTTTACTATTTATAAAATGAGTATTTTCTGTGATTAATGCAAAACGGTGACATGACAGAAAAAAAAACGATTATCAACTAATTCCATCAAAAACACTTTTAAACTTAATTTTATTTCACAAATATTGTTTTTATACCTAACTTTTATTTTCTCAATGTAAAGGTGACAACCCTAAATGTAGTGTCCTGATTAGTGAGTGCCACAAAAACAATTTAATTATTATGTATGGAGAAACGAGCTGTAAGCCATGTGATCTTATGCGTGGTAGAGACGTAGCTTACGCTCCAGCGGGTTATGTTTATAACATAAATGTTTTCTCTTCAAAAACGCTGTACCTATACGAGTAATTTGTGGCGTCGGGCCACTAGTTTCTTACCAACCACTATTTAAAGAATTGGGTGTTCTTACGCTACCATCCATGTACATTTTTGAACTTTCAATATTCCTAAAAGGTATCCTCATTTTTTTTACTAGATTAAAAGATACAGTAACATATAGTACCAGATAAAATTATTTTACCTTCATTAAAAACTAGCCTGTACTCAAAAAATTGCTATGTGATGGCTATTCAAGTGTTTAATAAAATCCCAAATGAAATAAGGCGACTAGATTATAATCGATTTAGACGTAATTTATTAAAGTGGCTTTTAGAAAAACAATTTTATTCGGTAAATAAACTGCTAACAATTAAAGAACGTTTCTATTGACTGTGAAACGCTGTTTCTTATTTGATTGTGTTATTAAAATTGTAAAGTGATGCACGTTTAATTTTACTTAAATTTTTTTTAAAATTAGTAAATAAGTTAGTTAATTAGTAAATAAGTTAGTTAATTAGTAAATAAGTTTTCATATACCAAAATTGGTTAAATATGTGATTATTATTTTATAAGAACATCTTTGTATCATATTTCTCGTGAATAAATTTATTTATTTATTTAATTATTAATTCAATATCAAAAGTCAATTGCAGAACCCAGACATGGCTGAGGTCTGACATTGACCAATAATGGGGATATTTACCCCGCTTGGCAGGCGGGTAGCATGAATGGTAGGAAGATGCTGCTCCCCCACTTATGTTTAAATTTATCTCTGCTGTCTCTTAAAATATCTACGGATTAATGGAATCTCTTGCGCCTTAGACCATTCAAATGGTCTAAGTCTTGCGCAATCCTCTCTAGTATTTTAAAGGTTTCTTGAGATGATGTTAAATTTCTTACTTATTCAGGTATTGTGTTTCTCATCAATCCGTAAAAATCTACTGCTGGACATTAAGCTCTTAAATTTGAGGTCGATATTGTATATATTGGAATACCTTCCAGAGGTTTCTTTCTTTTACGCTCATCTTCTTTGTAAATTATGACTGGCCATATAAGTTTTTTGTTGTGCTATTATTGGTATTGTAAACAATAGGTCTTTAAATTTTTTCTGGTATATCTTCTATTTTTTGACATGATATATTTGTAGCGAAAGTTTCGTGGCTATACGAACAATACCCATCTGATGGACTTGTCACCGCGGCCTGTTTCAAACACGTTGTTTTTTCTTTTCATAAAACTGAAATGACAAAAAAAATTACCGTCCAACTGATGAAGCTGACTGCAGTCCATGGAGTACATGGACACCTGCAGCCAACTTCATACAAAGAAGGATATAAATGTGTTGTCACTTATGAGGGCTTAGATGGAATGGCTCAAAGCCTGACATTATAAAGGACTACATCCTTCAGACCGGAACACAGCAATGCAAGCAGTGTTATATAGCAGCAGAATAGGTAAGAAGATGTTACCGGTTAAGAGTAAGAGACGGACTCCTAGCCAATAAACTAGTCCTACCGTTTAGTAATTATTTGTCTTTGAAAAATCTAAATGTGTTCGCGACGGCCTAACAACGCTAAGAAACTACCAGTGACAAGAAGTAGTGACAACCGTGGTCAATAAACAATAGTTATAAAATTTCGCGACTAATCAATCAGTCGAACCGCTGGCCACTACCTTGCTATTTGTATTTATTAATCGTGCATTTTGATTTGAACCTCAGTCCACAATATCTCAGCGGCACCCACAAAGACGGCAGTGAAAGTACCCACCGGAACCTATAGGTGTAAGGACGTGAGTGACTCGCGAAGTATCTTCGACAACATTTACTCCGGAGAGCTTCGCCCGTCCGGCACAAAATGTTTGTCAGCCACAAATATCATAATAATTTAGATTTTTGTATCATACCCCCAGCTTATAAAAGAATGCTTCAATAATTCTTAGGGCCCAAACGCATCCGTTTAAAAGTCACAACCGGTATTGCAAGGTTATGCTTGATAAGTGTTTAAGCGAAAATTTTTACGTGGTAGAGCCAGGCTTCAGCTATATTACGGTTGTAGCACGAATAGAATAGGTGGCTCAATCAGGGAAGGACCACGCTATCACAGAATACCAGCGTGAAATAAGAGCTTATGCTGCTGCGTTTCGTATGGTGAGTGTACAGAACCGGTGACCCTTTTTATTTGAAACGGGGCATTCTATCATAGTCCTCGGGGGTGACACAGCATCCACTTACCATCAGGTGGACTGTGTGCTCGTATGTCACCCTCTTTCTTTAAATAATAAGAGTGATCAAGAATATGAGAGTTAGAATTGTGACATTTTTGACCGGCCGGCCGTTTCACCGTTAATAACGGCTTATCAGTTGTTGGTCAACGATTTGGGACATAGCTTTTATTCATTGCATGAACCAACTATTTCGACTTTTGTTTAATGCCCGTTTTCATTGAACGGGCATTAAACAAAACACAAAACATTTAAAAAAAATCGCATACACTGAAAGTTGATGGAAAAAAATCGTTTGTACTATGTTTGAATCGCATATAATAAGGAATATTATAGCATGTTTTAGTCTTAAAAATATTTTTGTGTCTTAAGCTCAATAAGTGAATGGGTAATTTACAAGAAAGAGGACGAGCCCTGGCTTCGCATGGGTGCTGTTTACTATGTGACCTGTTTACTGGACCACAAATCGACATTCTTGCATATATTATACACGAAAACTTTCCTTAAGAAATTCCTTAATTGATGACAAATTGTACAAATATAGAGTTTTAGTTTCAAGCAAATAAACTGACAGATGTAGATTGATTTAATACTGTTAAGCTATGGACGTGTGCAATACGTAATACTTCATATAACTACTTGACTCTTTAATAGTGTACTGATTTATCTTCAAATCTCATAGCTTACACGATAAGGATATGGATTATTATAGGAAGTTGAGAGCAAGTGAAAAAGCTGTGGTTTCGTACATATTTGCATATTTTAAGAACGATCATTCATCTTCAAATCTCATAGCTTAAACGATAAGGATATGGATTATTATAGGAAGGTGAGAACAAATTTAGCGAAATAGCTATGGTTGTGTACATATTTGCATATTTTAAGAACGCCACCTTTATTGTTTATGTATGCAAAATTATTTCACTTATTTTTTTCAGAGATTGCCTTGAATGTGTTGTAGTATAGAACATAACACCTGTACTTTAACAATATTTTCTTGGTTACAGGTAAACATTTGGGGAAAGAAACGAGCATATAGAGCAGTTTTAGTGCACATTGTGACATAATCGTGTATGAACAATAGACTTGTTATGGGGTATATTGTGAAATAGTGTAAATCGCAAGCGAAATGTGGAGGACGGTTGTGGTGTTGGCGCTGGCCGCGACAGTTAGCGCACTGTTTGACGGTCCAAACGTGTGTACGAGGCAGGAGCCGTAAGTGTGCATTATACTTTGTTTTATTATATGAGTGGTTGATTTGTCTTTGAATTAACATGTGTTATTAATATGTGTTTTATTGATCTATGAGCAGTATGAACGTAACCAAAAAGGAGAACAGTTTACTCCATCCCAGAAGATCTTTTTTACGTGGCAGAGCCATGCTGCAGTTATATTAGTAGTACAGTTGTAGCACGAATGGGTCGGCTCGACCGGGGAAGGACTACGCTCTCACAGAATACCAGCGTAAAATAGTAGCTTAATGCTGCTGTGTTTCGTATGGTGAGTGTAGAAAACCGGAGACCCTTTTTACTGGAAATGAGGCATTCCATCTTAGTCCTCACGGGTGACAACGCATCTGAATTTTGATTCGTAATTGAGGATAGATTTAGACGTCTGTGGGCCACAGTAACCACTTACCATCAGGTGAACTGTGTGCTCGTTTGTCACCCTTGTATCCTATATAAAAAAAGATTAAAAAAACAGTCCAAATAAATCAGTCTGATCAGTGAAACAGGTTTACATATTGCAATGTATAATAACATTTCCAAGTAACACGACAAAAAGATTCTCCTTTGTTCTACATTTTTTATGAACGGACGCTCTTGTTAATAAGCAAATACACTTACCAAACCAAAACGTCTCCAGTGTTTCCTTCATAACAAAGTACCAAACAGCTCTGTTTAGACCTAGGTCTAGACATAATAATAACCTAACAAAGCGGTCACATATTGTACTAATATAGTAGTTCATATGTAATAAACTCAATTATATTTGTCGTAGGTATATTGTAGTATTTCTAAGTGCATAAAGTTTTATTCGTAATTGTTTGTTACAGTTGTCACGTTACTTGACGTGTCCGATGAATCATATTATGCTTGTAAAGTAATGAATGAAAGCTTACTCGTAATATGTATACAGTATCAGTTTATTTCTTCATTGAATAATAAAGCATTAATGGAATTTGTTAAAGTAAATTAAATGCCGTAGTAAAATCTACAAATACTACTTTCGTCCATAAATGAACTGGAATTATTAAAAAATCAAGTTTCGCCTTTCGGTCTTAATGCTTAGTAAATCTTGGTTTAAATAAGAAACATATTTTTTAGTTTTTATATTATTTAACATCAAAATTAAAAAAAAAACATCTTAGACTACGCTCGAATGACGGTTATAATTTTTATTTTTATACATTATGTCATTATAATATTATGTACATCTAGTAAAGAATTTAAATTTCATTTCAGAACTTAAAACGTTTTACTTTTCTATTTATGATAATTGTAATCTTATAAAAACGATAAAAATAATTTAATTTTTATGGCTTGGTTTGCAGAATGAGTGCGACCTTCTTCTTCTTCTTAGGTAAAATCTCGGCAGCTTTCCTTGCAAAATCGAATGATGATTAAAAATGAATATTTAAAAAATTCTTTATAATATTTGCGCCTTTGGAATAAAGAAAAGTTTTAGGTATCTCTTGAACTGTTCATATAGTAATGTAAAAAATAATAATAACCTGTAGGATGTCGAAAAGTTTTTTGTAGTCACTGATTTATCTTGTGAATGAATAGAATGTTTTTAATAATAGGTCCTTACATATGAAATTAGCGTTTAGTACGGGAGGAATATAAAGTCAATTTTTTTTGTAAAATATATTTAATTAATCAAAGTATGCACCGTTGTTATCTATGCACTTTTGCCATCTCATAGGTAGTTCTTTGATCCCTTTACTAAAAAAACCAATGGGGCGAGAATCAATAAACTATTTGAAGGCGGTTTGGACTACCGCATCGGAGTTGAATTTTTTCCTTGTAAAAAGTTGTCCATATTTCGGAAAAAATGGTAATCTGTTAGAGCAAGGTCCGGGGAGTACGGTGGATGCAGACATTCCAATTGTAGCTCATCTAACTTAGTGGTTGTTTGTTGTGCAGTGTGTGGTCTTGCGTTGTCGTAAAGCAATGGTGGCCTAGGACGAAGCGACCAATCTCGGTTGTTTAGCAGCTAGTTCTTCCTTCATGGTTTGCAGTTGCTGACAATAGATATCTGCCGTAATCGTTTCGCCAGATTTTAGAAAGCAGTAGTGAATAACACCAGCGTTAGTTCACCAAACACTCACAAATAACTTTTTCTGAGTAAATTTTCGTTTAGGACAGGATTTGGCTGGGTCTACAGGGTTAGATGCGACGAGCGCCTCCGTATCCACTTTTCATCACAAATAATGATGAATGAATGTTTAAAATCCCTTCATTTTTGTGTCGGTTGAGTAAAGTAACACAGCAGTCGACGCGTGTTTGCAAGTTCGATTCACTCAATGAGGTACCCATCGTTCAAGTTCTTTTACTTTCCCGATTTGTTTTAAGTGGATTAATAGAGTTTTATCACTTACCCCGAAGCATGCAGCAATCTCTGAAGTGCTTTGTGATGGATCCGCTTCCACAATAGCCTATAATTCTTCATTTTTTACTTTGGTCTCCGGCCGTCCACGGGGTTGGTTCTGAAGGTCGAAATTTCCAGAACGAAAACTTTAAAACCAAAAACGTACCGTGCTTTCTTTTGCGACACCAGCACCGTTCACAACGTTAATCCTTCGAGCTGTTTCTGCAGCACTGGTGCCACGCTAGAACTCGTACTCGTAAATATACCGATATTTTTCATGTTTTCCATTGTGTGGCAATAAGCGACGCGAAAGGAAAAAATAATGACGAAAAATAGATGAATGACTGTTGAAAAATAAATGAATGTCAAATGTACCAGCTAAATGAATTTATAAATTTGAATTTGGAATTCTGAACCAAATAGGAGATATTTCAGATCAAAGTGGTCAGTTCGACAAAACACTAATTTCATATGTAGGACCCAATACTTGTTTACCCAAGTCGATTATTTTGAAATTATCACTAGTAAATTCCAATAATGTTAAAGCGTAATGACACCGCCAATGTACGTAGTACATTATTAACTCAATTCCGCCAATGTCCGATCAGAAAATTTATAAGCAAGAAAATGAGATGTTTAAAAAAACTGGGATGGGGTTATGATAATTTATTCATTGCAACGTATGCTTCAATTTACTACTTCAAAATGTAATAATTTGTATATAATCATAAAATGCTTTTCTTATACTAGTATTTCAGCGGCATGTGCAACTAGATATTTGCCGTGGGTCCAAAACATCACCCACACACACACACACACACACACACACACACCCCCGCCCCCACACACACACCACGCACGCACGTATTTGTATGGAGATTAATGGGAATTAGGGACACAATTACGGTTTACGTTATCGAAGTATAGCCCTTGGGTGTCAATACGATATTTCTCATAACAGAGTGACGTCAAAACGTACTATCGATAGCATATGCATCGAATCCTAAGTGTCTAGCTTGTAAAGTAAAGTCACAGCTTTTGTAAGTCACGTTACTGAGCATAGTTACGTACTAGCATTATTTAAATCCGTGGCACAGGCCTCTCATTTCTGAGAGGGTTATGTTGTTAGCCTTGATCAATTATAGTACTTATTGATCGAAGGCTGTAGCTGCTCTTCTAGCCTTTGATTATGTACTGTGATGAGATGATCCTAATAAGAATAGTTGCCACTAGCTGGGTCATAGTCATAAAATTTTTGTATTGGCATCGTTTCTTAAAACGTCTGCAGAATTTCAGATTATTCAGACGTCTGGAAGGGGGTGAAAATTGAATTTAAAAATTCCATTACATAGATACATATAGGTCTAGCTAAAATATAACGAAGATTGAGCACTTCTTGTATATTGAAAATGAATGTTTTATCAGAAATCCCTAAGAAAAATAAAGAGAAGAAAGAAACAAATTCACCACTCAATAAATGGATAGTTGACCACATGCGTCAGCAGCATGCATCAAGTTGTATATGGCCACTTGTATTTACATGAGAGGCTTTATCTTATTCCGAGAATAAAAGCTTACACAGTTTGTTATTAAATAAATATTAAACTTATTTGAGTCATTGTATGAATGGCGTTGTTATGTTATGAACACAGGGCAAAATGATTAAACTTATCATTAGTATTTAATTTTAGTACATGTTTTGCTTCAAAAACATTTGAAAATTCATAAGCTAATAAGGAACATTAAGGTAGCTTAATTGCTGTCGAAGTGCGAGATTTCTGGTAGGTACTGCAACTTTCAATCTGCCTGAAAATCGCGATCGCGAGTGAGCGTGGAAGAGGCACATAATTTTACATTAGCTAGGAATGAGTCCTTAAGGATCTACAACATAGTTGAGATACGTATAATAATTATTTATAAGTATTATAGTGTTAACTATTTTTACAATAATTATCTGTACTGTTTAAGTGTAACAATCACACCAATTACGCATCGTGTTTGATTCGTCATTCGTTCGTTTCCTTACATAAGTGCAAAGTGCACGATACACCTGCGTAACCAAACAGTTTTGCCATGCCCACGCGTAGTAAACATCTCACGAGATAACGCATTCCAGTCGAGCTCAATTTTACATACATAGAAACAATTACACGTTATCATTTCATTCTTAGAAGTTGTTATAAGTTTCATGTCAAATATAAACAACTATCGTTTTCTGAAAATGCTTTTAGGCGACTGGGGCTTATAAAGTTAATATAATTTCGGTCTTGTTACGATAGCAGTGATAGCACTGATGTTAAATACAAAATCAATCATATTCATGCAAGTAAATGAAAAGTAATTATAAACAACCACCAGACGTAGTCTCTATAGACTGTAGAGCCTTTTTAAGTGACACATATTCCACTAGTTTAATCATAAATAAAAATCAAAATTAATACAATG